GAGGCGGATGCGGCGCCCATCCCCGTGGGGTCTGCTAAATAGGCGACCCGCGCGTCCGGCGGCAAGTGCGGCGCCACCGCCTCGGCCGACGTCGCCCAGAAGCGGTTCACAGAGAGCACGTGGTGAGGGTCGCCGTTGGAACCGCCACCGCCGCCACCGCCGCCCCCTCCCCTGCCGCTGCCACCGCCGCCGCCGCCGCCGCCGCCGCCGCCACCGCCACCGCCACCGCCGCCACCGCCACCGCCGCCGCCGCCGCCGCCGCCGCCACCGCCGCCGCCACCGCCACCGCCGCCGGAGGGGCCAAGGCCGCGTATCTCGTGCGCGGCACAAGCGGGGAGGAAGAGCAACTCGCCTGCGCGAGATTCAGCCGAGAGATGGAGATATGGCCGTGATGCGGCCGAGGTACAGCCGAGAGGTAGCCGAGAGGTAGCCGAGAGGTAGCCGAGAGGTAGCCGAGAGACATAGACATAGCCGAGAGGCATCCAAAACATACCACCCTCGTCCCAGGCGAACCAACTATGAGCAGCTCGCCTTGACCGAGGTGCAGCCGAGATGTGGCCGAGGTGCAGCCGAGGCAAGCCTCTCTGATCAAATCCCTCATCACACACACACATCACAAATGGGCAGGAGATCAGAATCTCATCGATACCAGCCCCTTGCGCTCTCTTCACACCGGCGCTCTCACAACAGACCGTGGGTCACACGAGATATGGGGAGATATGGGGAGATATGGGGAGATATGGCGCTCTCACGGCAGATTGTGGGTCACACGGGGCCGACTACAGTGTACAGCGAGGAGGCGGAGGGCTACTCGTACCGGGAGATATGGGCAGATATGGGCAGATATGGGGAGATATGGGGAGTACCTGGACGGAGTGTCACCTCGTACCGGGAGATATGGGCAGATATGGGCAGATATGGGGAGATATGGGGAGTACCTGGACCGAGTGTCACCTCGTACCGGGAGATATGGGCAGATATGGGCAGATATGGGGAGATATGGGGAGTACCTGGACGGAGTGTCACCTCGTACCTTGCCGCCAGCGCCTCCCGCAGAGCGGGATCGAGCTCACCGCCGCTCCCATCGCCGCCGCTCCCCTCGCCGCCGCCACTGCCGCCGCCCCCGCCCCTGCCGCTGCCATCGCCGCCGCCGCTGCCATCGCCGCCGCCGCCGCCGCCGCCGCCGCCAGAGTCTGCCGCCGCCTTGAGCGCACGGCGAAGGGCGAGGCGCGAAAAGGCCCACGACATGCCTGAGAAGAAGAAGAAGAAGAATGAGAACCGTACGAAGACCACGCGCAGCAACAGCAATCGCCTTGTGGGTCGACGGCGTGTGGCCGGAGCGCGCGCCAGTGGCTCGGCGGGAAGACTAGCACCTCCTTCTCCCCGGAGAGCTGCAGCAGTGTCCCATCGGTGACGTCGATATGGAGGGGCTCGGTGTGGCCCGCCTACGACGTGTCTAGGAAGTGTCTAGGAAGTGTCTAGGAGGTGTCTAGGAAGTGTCTAGGAGGTGTCTCGGAGGTGTCTAGGAAGTGTCTAGGAAGTGTCTAGGAGGTGTCTAGGAAGTGTCTAGGAGGTGTCTAGGAAGTGTCTAGGAAGTGTCTAGGAAGTGTCTAGGAAATGTCTAGGAAGTGTCTAGGAAATGTCTAGGAGGTGTCTAGGAGGTGTCTAGGAAGTGTCTAGGAAGTGTCTAGGAGGTGTCTAGGAGATGTCTAGGAGATGTCTAGGAGGTGTCTAGGAAATGTCTAGGGGGTGTCTAGGAGGTGTCTAGGAGGTGTCTAGGAGATGTCTAGGAGGTGTCTAGGAAATGTCTAGGGGGTGTCTAGGAGGTGTCTAGGAGGTGTCTAGGAGATGTCTAGGAGGTGTCTAGGAGATGTCTAGGAGGTGTCTAGGAGGTGTCTAGGGGGTGTCTAGGAAGTGTCTAGGAGGTGTCTAGGAGGTGTCTAGGGAGTGTCTAGGAAGTGTCTAGGAAATGTCTAGGAAGTGTCGTAGGAAGTAGTGGGCCCGCCGGCCCCCACCACGCGTTGACCAGCGGGCCGTACAGCGCGTGCCTGATTAACTAAGTCATCCGTGGTGAATGAATGACCGAATTAGTCAGTGAGGCGGCCGTACAGCGCGCGCCTAATACCGCACCACGGAGCCTGAGCCCACACCGGAGTCGATGCTCTGGAGGTATCGTGCTAGGCCGTAGCAGCGCGTGCATGCGCAAGCCGCATGCTTCGCCGACGGCGTCGAAGAGCGGCGCGAGGACGGCACCGGCGCGCGACGAGGCGACATCGCTTTGGACGTAGCAGTCGTTGGAGGCGGCGATGCCGGACCTGTTCACAGCGGGAAGAGCTGCGAAGAGACGCTGTTTGCAGAAGGCTCCCCGCCGACAACGACGCCGAACCTGTTCACAGCAGTAGAAGTGGTGAAGAGACGTTCGCCGCAGCCGTTGGCGGCGGCGATGCCGGACCGGATCGAGTCAGCGAAGAGCGGCGCTGTCGTCGTCACCGTGCTCCGCATGTGCTTCCGGCCCGTCCACCGATCGGGACTCGTCGCGTACCCGTCTCCACCGTGGATGCGGCACGTCAGCGGCAGGTGAGCGCCGACCGCCGCGGCAAAGCCGCTCAGCCCCCAGTCCTCTCGGGCGAGCGCGCCGAGCGTGCCCTCGACGAGCAGCGGTGTGCCCTCGCGCTGGTGCCGGGCAAACACGCGCGGCGACAGCTCCGTGGCGTGGATCCGCTCCACAGCCCGGCCGGTGCGAGGCACGAGGCAGAGCGGCCGCAGCGGCGGGCGCGGGAGCGTGGATCGCCTGTCGATGGCGTGACGCCGGCTCGCCCACGAACTGCGCACTGTGAAGGCGGCAGTAGTGCACTCTGGCATGAGGTGGAACGAGGCTGCTCTGAGGAGCGGGCCGCGAGCAAAGCAAACCACCCGGGCGTCTTCTTCGCTGTTTATTCACAGCGGCACGCCCCTATAGTTACCCTGGGGTCGCCTCGTGAATAAACGAGTTCTGGCTCGCTGCTCTTACTGCAGCCGCCTCCGAGGCCGGCGCTGGCTGGCTCACCTCGCCAGTGCTGTCCAAGCCTGCGAGAGGCGTGTCGGCTCGCCGCCTGCGTCGCCCGCGGCGGGCGTGGCGTGCCGCTGGTCGGGAGTGCCCAGCAGGCTGTGCAGGGCAGTCTGCCTCACTCAGAGCGCCGCGGCGCGGGGCCGCCGTCGGCGCTGCGCCGCGAACGCTGCCGCTGTGTGCGTCACCATCGCGTCACCACTGTGTCAATTGTGCGAGTGCGCGGAGCTCAGTGTCTCGCTCGCCGCCCTCGCAGCAGTCGCTGAATTTTGGTTGATTGTTCAAACAAATTAATTATAAAGACAAAGACGAGTAGGGTGCAAGTAGTGGAGCACTTGGAGCACTTGGAGTGCAGTCATCAACCTCACATCCAGGGCCGGGGAGCTAAGAAGCGCACCCAGCGAGCCGGATGATCGGTGTCGGGTTCCTCTTGCCCGCATTGCGGGCAAGAGAGCCCTAGCCCCGGGGGTGCGCGTTCGCAGGGCAAGGGCCGTAAAGCAAACACGGGTCTCCGAGGGTTGGTTCCGTGTACCGGGTTTCCCCTTAACTGCAGAACGCCCCCTCTACTCGGAGCTAGTGGACACGGACTCAACACTACATGTCACGTACATACACGTACTTACTGGAGTCTGGAGGCCAGGGACTTTTTCATTCAATGTATGTGGCTCTTACGTACGTACATTCCCGTAGGAGGACTGCTGACAGGGTTTGCGATGAGGCTTTTTCTTCCTCCTAACTTTCATATTGCCTGCTGATTGCATCCTCGCCATATACACTCCTCACAAACCCGGCGCCTAGCCTTACCAGGACTTACGAGCCCCTTGCTTGCGACACCCGAGGCACGCATTGCCACCGCCGCCCTCGCCGCCATCCTCTGCTGTCCGCGGTCAGCGCCCAACCGCATCACTCTCACTGCCACCGCACCGCCCTCGCCACCGCACTCTGTGGCCTCGCTCCATCCCACCGCCCGCTCTCCGACTTCTCAGCGTCTCCCTGTGCGCGCCTTGCAGAACAACAAAGAGCAATGGACAAGTACGGCTCCGCGTGCACGGTCCATCCTGAGCGATGCCAGCAGTACCTGGGACGCCCCGGCGAAGGCTTCCTCCCGCAGTGGACTCCCGCGCTCATTAGTGCGAGATACTCGACTTTCCTGGCGCGCGCTTAGGTGCCTGTCAGGCGCCGCCGCGCCGCAGCCGCGGGCCCCCAGCCGGCGGGGGGCAAGGCGCCCACCCACGAGTGCTCGGGTGGGCGGGCCGCGGGTGTGCGAGTAGTAGTGCAGCGGCCGCGGCGCACAGCCAGGCAGGGGCACGGCCCGCCGCGCAGCGCTCGCCACACAGCGAGACTTTCGTTTTCTTTTTTACGTGCGTGTTTTCTTTTCTATGTGCGCGATCTAAAAGTTGCTTGGTACACGCGCTGTTCAAAATATGCGCGCGTCTTCTGAGACACGCGCTGTTCAAGGTATGCACGGCGCGTCTTTTGAGACAGCAACGCCAATCGGAGATGCCGCGAGCAATTCGGGATGATCCCGAATTGCTCTCGCGGCATTGCGCGGAGCAACTAATATGGATTCGCGCATCTTAGGATGCTCGAGCATACCGAGGACAGCGAGCGTCTAAGTAGGACGCCTACTAGACGCATTCTAATCCAGAGACGCATTCGGTAAACAAAGATGGGGGGGTCGCCCCCCCAGACGCATTCAAAGACGCCGTCTTCGTACCCACCTCACAGTCCGTATTTATTTGGTGCTGCGTCTCGCGTGCAAACCTTGGAACTTGTGCCCGCCTCCTTCTCCGACGAGCTCGTATGCCACGTCGCCGTCTGTGTTTAGGTTTCTATGTTTGCGATTTGGAATTTGGTATTTGTCCAACTCTTTGTTTATTTATTTATTTATTTGACTTCCGCACTCTGAAATCCCTCAGTACCATCGATACCTCTGCCAAACGGTGGCGGCCGCGCGGCCACTAGACGTGGCACGTGTAGTCAGGCCGAAGCAGACTGCTGCGCGTTGACGTCAACTGCAGCAGCAGCGGAGTGGCTCCGCCTGGCCGCGCTGCTCACCAACGGCTCCGAGTCGCGATGCCGCGCGACGGCGCCACCGCCGTACAGCAGGGCGGCGAGGCACGCGCCGCCGACGGCGACGACGGCGACGCAGATGGCGCAAGCGGTGCGCGCGCTCACCTGCAGCACCGACAGAGACGGAGTGGCGGGCCTGCCCCGGCAGCATCTAATCTCTCTCCTCTGATAGCCCCCCTCCGAACCCCCCCCCCCCCCCTTCACCTGTGGTAGCACCGAGAAGCCGACAAACGACGACAGCGCCGAAGTGAGCTTGAGGTGTGCGAATGGTCCAACCGCACCCGCGCCCGCATCCGGCTCGCCCCTCGAAACTGCAGGCGCGGGCGCCGCCCTCGCCGCCCCAACCATGCTGCGCCCACGCCCGCCGCGCGTGCCGCGCGTGCCTCCCGGGAGGGAGAGCGCGGGCGAGGTGCGGCGGGAAGCGCGCGGCGCGTGGCGCGGTGTCGCCATCTCGCCAACTAGCGCCTGCTCCGGGAAGGTTCCGAGACGGTTCCGAGATGGTTCCGAGACGATTCCGAGACGGTTCCGAGACGGTTCCGAGACGGTTCCGAGAAGGGCCTCGGCTAGCCTCTCGGCTAGCCTCTCGGCTGCCTCTCAGCTGCCTCTCGGCTGCCTCTGGCGACATCTCGGCTCTCTCGGCGAGATCTCGGCTGCATCTCGGCGAGATCTCGGCTGCATCTCGAGCGCCATCACGGAGGTTTGCCACACAGCGACACCGACGCCGTACAAGAGAAAAATGCCCACCCACGCGCCACCGCCGGGCGAAGTGCACGAAAGCGGCAGCGCCGACGGCGCCAGCGGTGGCTCCGCCGCCAGCGGCAAAGGTGGCGAAGGCGGGAGGCCGCGTTCGCCGCCGTCGCTCGCAGCGGGTGGCGGTGTCGGCGGCAGCGGAGGAGGAGGCAGCGCGGCGCAGGCAGAGCCTGCGTGCGGAATACGCAAACATGAGGGGCGGGACCACGGCATTGCGCAGAGCCTTCAGAGCACCGCGTGAAGACGAGGGGGCACGAGTGCAGTGAGTACCGCTGGAAGACAGTCGAGTGCAGCGGAGTGCGTATCCTCTCGAGTGCTGCTTGGACTACAAGAATGGCGTATTCCGCTTCTAGGGCCCGCTGCTCCTGCTCACGAGATATGGGGAGATACGGGGGGAGATACGGGGAGATACTCCGCGTCTAGGGCCCGCTGCTCCTGCTCACGAGATATGGGGAGATACGGGGGGAGATACGGGGAGATATTCCGCGTCTAGGGCCCGCTGCTCCTGCTCACGAGATATGGGGAGATACGGGGGGAGATACGGGGAGATATTCCGCGTCTAGAGTCGCCGAGCCCGCCATCGCCGCAGCCGCTGCGAACGCGACAGCCCCGGCGGCGAGGGCGAGGGCGCGACCAGAGGGGTGGGCGCGCGCCATGTAGGTGACTGCGACGGCCACGCAGCCGGCGAACAGGCCGGAGAGAGCGAAGTACCTGCGCGCAGGTGCAGCCGTGAAGAGACGCCGTTCACGGCGGGCCTGCGGGCACCGGTGAGAGCAAAGGACCCCCCCGCCCGACAGGAGGGCGGGGAGGACGGTCTTGTGCAGCGTATTCAGAGCACCGCGTGAAGGCAACGGACTACGACTACAGCGGAGAGCGTGTCCTCTCGAGCGCTCGTTGGAGTACAAGAGTTGCGTACTCCGCGTCTGGGCAAAAGGGCCATCCAGCCCACGGGGAGATACGGGGAGATACGGGGGAGATACGGGGAGATACGGGGAGATGTTCCGCTTCTAGGCAAAAGGGCCATCCGACCCACGGGTTGGCCTGGCCGGGCGGGTTCGGGCTGGGCGCGAGGGAGGCGACCACCTAATCGGGGCACAAAGGGGATCTGATGAGGGGAATAAAGGGGGTATACGGGGCATGAGGGGGTAACGCGGGTTCGGGCTGTGCGCGGGGTACAAGGGAGGCGACCACCGCCGGGAAGAGAGCCGTCATGGAATAGGAGATACAAGGGGGTACAAGGGGGTACAAGGGGTACAAGGGGGTACAAGGGGGTACAAGGGGCGACCACCGGGAAGAGAGCCGTCATGGAATAGGGGGCACAAGGGGGTACAAGGGGGTACAAGGGGGTACAAGGGGGCGACCACCGCCGGGAAGAGGGCCGTCATGGAATAGGGGGTACAAGGGGTACAAGGGGGTACACGGGGGTACAAGGGGGTACAAGGGAGGCGACCACCGCCGGGAACAGGGCCGTCATAAGCCCGAACGCGACGTTCGTCGGAGTGAGGAGGACGAAGCGGTGGTCGCAGAGCGTGGCCAACAGGCTCCCCTCCCCGCCGCTGCCTTGCGGCTGGCCGGGACCCGTGTCGCTCTGCCGCTCGCCCGGCCGCGCGGACAGGTCGATCACGCTGGACATGGCGACGGTGCAGCCGAGGGCGAGGGCGGTGTAGGCGCCAAAGAGGAGCTGCGGGGCCTGCGGGAAAGAAGGGGGCGCGCTGTGAGCGGCGTCTCTCCGCCGGTGGTGCGACTCTGAAGAGCCGAGGAGCTGCAATGCCTGCGGGAAGAGGGAGAGGGAGAGACCGGCCAGCTGCTTACCAAAGGTGAGGGAGAGCTGGAAGAAGAGCGCGAAGAGACCCGCCTGTTCACAGCCGGCGGTGTGAAGAGACGCCGTTCACGGCTGGAAGAAGAGAGCGGGGCGGCCCGCCATCAAGTCGAGCGAGTCTCGCTCGCCCTCCGCCGCTGCCTTCTCCGACGCAGCGCCCGCCTGTGCCCACAGCCCGGCAGCTGGAAAAGGAGGGGTAGGAGGCGGGCCCCTCCCGGCTGCGGAACAGCCACGTGTAATGTGTGGGATCGGGGTCGTGGCATCAGGGGTGTCGCATCAGGGGTGCAGGGTCGAGAGTACGAGTATGCAGCGGGATCGAACGCCCATGTGAGACATGGGAACTCGCCGACGCGCCGCCCGCGAAAGTGCCGTGAAGACGCGTCTCTGACTGCAGAATCCTCGGATAGAGGCCGCCGCCCGCCGCCGCAACGCCCTCCACTGAAGGAGAGCCGGGAGGAAGAGGAGGAGGCGCCCCCGTCGCCTCCGCCGCCCTCGCCTCTGTCGCCCTCGCCGCCGCCTCCGCCTCCGCGCCTCCTCCCTCCCCTCCTCCTCCGCCGCCCGCCCCTCCTCCTCCTCCTCCACCCCCTCCTCCTCCACCACCACCAACCCCACCCCCACCACCACCACCTCCTCCTCCTCCTCCTCCTCCTCCTCCTCCTCCTCCCACGGACGCGCGGCCCTTTGCCTTGCTGTACTCGACCGCGCTTGTCGTGTAGTATGCCCCCTGCGCCGTCCAGAGCAGAGCGCCTACGCGACGGTTCCGAGAAGGTTCACGGAAGGCGCCGCGGCATGCGCGCTGCCCCGCGCAGAGCACCGGCGAGGCCACCGAGCGCTCCGGCGGGGTAGAGGACGGTTGGGCTCGGCGCCATGTACGCGGCCGTGTACACCGCGTACATCAGCATCGACGCGACCAGCGAGCGCTTCACTCCGGCGCGCCGCACGAGCGCCGGCGCCACGAGCGTGCCGAGAGCGAAGAAGAGGTAGAGCACGGCGCTGACAGACGAGGCGAGGTGGTGCTCGACCACCTCGTGTGAGATGATGATCGTCGCGGAGATGCAGCCCTCCAGGATCGCGAACGAAGCAGAGAAGACCAGCGCGTTGCGCATGAGGTCGCGTGGAGAGTAAGCAGGCCGCGGAGGCCGCACGCCGCCGACGCCGTCGTCGTCGCTGAAGTCGGTTGAGGCCATGTTTGGCGCGGATGATGGACGTCCCGTCCGTCCCGCCCGGCGACCTGGCGCACGCCCAGCTGCGCCTGCTCCTCTGCGCCGACGTGTCGTCGGCGGAACGCGCCACGTTGCTCCGCTGGCGGGCGGAGCGCGGGATGAACCAGCCGGAGATCGCGATGCACCGCCTCGGGGAGGACCTCCGGGACGAGGCGCGAGTCAAGAAGCTCACCGAGAAGTGGCGGCCCCGCCTCGCGGCGGCACGCTACAAGAAGCAGCCCGCAGGCACGGGCCTGCGCACCGAGCACATCAAGCCCTTCTTCGAGGAGCTCGAGGGCGGCTTCGTCGTGCTGTTCGAGGCGATCGAACGCTTTGCCATCCCCGACTGCATCACGCGCATCGCGGCGACGGTGCTCTCGACCCAGCTGCTCAAGCGCCTCGACGACGGGACGCCGTCGATGCTCGCCGGCACGCGACCCATCGGCATGGGCGAGGCCCTCTTCAAGGAGGCGTGGCGCGCGCGCGCGAGCTGGGCGGCGAAGACCATCGGCCCCGTGCTCCTCTGCTTCGGTCAGATGGCCGTCGGCCTGCCCAGCGGCGGCGAGGGCGTCGCCACGGCACTGCAGCTGTACTGCGACTCACCTGCGCTCGAAAGCCGCGCCATCATCATCGCCCTCGACTACTCCAACGCCTACTCGACGAGCCTGCTCGACTCGTCGGCGCGAGCGACCCTGAAGCTGATCGAGTGGGTCAAGCAGCTCGACGACGCGACGCGGGCGCGGCTCGCCATCAAGGACGCAGACGAGGTGGTCCGGGCGGCAGAGGCAGCGCTCGACGACCTCGCCTTCCTGCGGACCCACCACGGCGAGGTGCTGACAGTCGTCGACGGCAGCCTGGACCGCTTCGCCGTCCGCCTCGGCTTCACGCAAGGCGGCCTCTTCTCCATGCTGAGCTTCTGCATCGCCGTCTGCTTCCTCGTCCTTAAACCGCTCAAGGAGAGGTACCCGGAGGTTGTGCCGAAGTGCATCGCCGACGACGCCCACGCGCCGACCGTCGTCCGCGAGGCCGCCGACATCGAACGGGCGGCGGAGTGGTGCACCGCCTACGTCAAGCTCTCGGAGCGAGAGCTCAACCTCTCCGCGAACGCGCGCAAGTTCAAGATCCTGCAGTCGCGGAAGTGGCAGGACACGGAGCTTGACGTAGCGCGCTTCATCAAGCTCTTCCCGTCGCAGATGCACGAGGGAAAGCGCAAGTGGCCGACGGTGTTGCGCGACGCGCTCCGAGTCAACGGCGTCGGCGTGGGCTACGAAGCGGCAGCGCGCACCGGCATCGCCATGGACAAGGTGCGGGCGCACGAGATCAAGCTGAGGGTGCTCGAGAAGCTCACGCCGGCGCTTGGGCGGCAGACGGCCGAGCTCCTCGGACGCTTCACCCTCAAGGCGTCAACCGCGCTCAACCACGTCGCCCGTGGCTGCGAGCCCTCGGTCACGCGCGAGCCGCTCGAGTACGCTGGCGAGACGCAAGCGCAGCTCTTCCGCACGCTCACCGCCACCAGCCCCTCTGAGATCCGCGACGTGCAGCACGACGCCAACCCCGCCGGCCCGACGGAGCGGCGGTGCGAGGAGGCGATGCACCTCTCGCAGCGGAATGGCGGCTTCGGCTGGGCGCACCCACGACTCATCGCGCCGGCCGCTTCGACTGGGCGCGTGCTCGACGTCCTCTATCTGCTGCGGCGGCTCGAGGACGTGTCCCCATTGGTGCCGCCCCCGAACGAGTGGGCCGCGTCCGGCGTGCCGATGCTCGCGGAGGCAATCGCGTTCATCGAAGAGCTTGTGAGCAATTCGGCGGGCTTCGAGCACGGCCCGGACAGCGACGCCGACGACTGGAGGTCCCTCCGCAACAAGATCGTCGCGGACGACGGCTCCGTCGACTACAAGGGGATCGAACAGGTCTCGGGGCGCCACTTCCAGCACGTCGCCAACAACGCCCTGCAGCAAGACATGTTCGACGCCATCGTCAACGACCCGAAGGTGCACCCGGCGACGCGAGCGCACTTCCGCTCGACGAAGCAACTCGGGGCGGGCGCGGTGCTCGGCATCGACGTCGTCCACAAGGACGTCGAGCTGAACGACAAGGCGTGGCTCCACGAGGCGCAGGGCTACCTCAACCACCCCAAGGGCGCCATCACCCTCGCCACGCGCTGCGTCGGCGTGGGCCCTAACTCGGTGTGCATCTACCACCGCACGAGGCTAACGGGATGCGTCCCGTGCGACATCGGCGACGCGCGAGTGCCGCGCACGCTGTCGCTCTTCGAGCACCTCAACGGCACGCACTGGGATGGGTGCAACTACGGCGGCTGGCTGGCCACGGGGCACACATCCCTCAACACCCACGTCACGAACGTCGCCCGCGCCTTCGGCGCCTCGGCAAAGGTCATGGAGGTGAGGCTCGGCTGCAGGGACCCGACGCGGGCGCACGATCCGGATCACTTTCCTGCCTCATAAGGGCGGGGCTGTCCCGGAAAGTGAGAGACGCCGGGCAGCGTGGCGCACAACTGAACCCTCCCATACGTGTTTGTGCTCCTCCTTTGCTGTCCCATCTCCTCCTCTCTTTCCCGCCTGGGCGGGGCAGTGGGCGGGCGCGCGGTGCGGCGTGGCGTGTGCGTGTGTGTGACTGCAACGAAGGACCGCTCGCAAGGGACCATTGGGTTTGTACTATTAACAATGTATGTATGTAGAAAGGTGAAGAACAGCCAGGCTCGGACTGGACACCAACGCGGTATGGGTGGACGCGGGACAGATGATGACGACACGCACGAACGAGCGAGCGACACACAGACACAAACAAGCTCACAAGACACACAGCCAGCTGGCTGCCACACACCCTGAGTTGGCGTACACATAACTCAAGGCCGCGCCCCCCCCCCTGTCGCCTCCCCCAGCCAAGGTGCCGAGAGAGAGAGAATTCTTGATACGAAACCACGACGACACACACCAGTCGACTCGCATCGGTTGCCTCCATGAACGGCGGAGCTATTCTCGCGCCCACACCACACCTGGCTCCAACGTGGACACGCCCATAGCTGGGGACACTACTAGGTCACGCATGGCATCACAGAAGTTTTATCTCTGGGCCCCGAAAGGCATCTCTAGCAGTGTCGTTACACATGCCCCCTCCCCTCCTGGGCGCATGCGCCTCACGTCTCGCCAGAGCATAAGCCCTTGGCGTGTGGCGAGACGAGTTTTTCGCCATCGCAGCTAGCAGCAAGCCGCCCGCCGCAAACAGCCGGAGGCATCGCCACGGCACTGGCTGCGCCGCGGTCCCGCACCCGTCGACGCAGCTCCCCCCGCGGAAGACCGCGCGTAGCAACGTCTTGACGATCGAGATGAGCGTGCCTGAAGCTCGCCCACCTACTGCCCCTGAGAGTTGGTTATTGAGTGGGATCAGCTCCCCCCCTTGGGATCGAAGCCGCCACAACCTCACACCCAACATCCCAGGCGGGATCAGAAGGGGACTCCACACCGGACACCGCCCGGGCACAGCCCCCCTACCCGTCGGATCGCACAGAGGGCCCCCTCGGAGCAGCCCACACACAATCACGCATCGGCAGATTGAGTGCCTGAGTCAGGCAGACAGCACAGACAAGAGGAGAGAGAGGAGAGAGAGAGAGAGAGAGGAGAGAGGAGAGGGTGAGGGTGTGAACACACGTGAGGAGTGGGGGAGGGTGTCTGTGGTGGGTTGTAGTCATACTACGTGGTTACAACCACGCGCCCCTCAGGAGCTTAAGGTAGAGCTGAGCGTCCAAGACGCCTCGGTGCCACCCACCGGCGTGAAGACCATCCGGATCTGCCGGGTTCGCCCTCCGGACGGACCCGTCCCCGCGATGGCCCACGGTCCTCCGTCGCCTGGTTGAACCCCCTGCCTCCCGGTTGACCCCCCGGTCCCCGTACACGACCATGAAATAAACTCAAAGTCCACCACAGCCACCAGCCTCCACCTCCACCCGCGAGCCGCCACCGCTGCCGCCCGCGACGCCGCCCGCCGCGTCAGATAGCCGCGACGCGCGCATCGAGTCGCGTCGGAGAGCCGCGCCGCACCAGCAGCAGCATCTGCACCACCAGCAGCAGCAGCAGCACCACCACCACCACCCGAGAGAGAAGCGCACCTGCCCGACGCCGCCCGCCGCGTCAGACGCTCGCGACGCGCGCGTCGAGCCCAGTCGCACAGCCGCGCCGCGCCAGCAGCAGCATCGGCACCAGCAGCAGCAGCACCACCACCACCAACAGCAACAGAGACAGGCAGTGCAGGCGCAGAGGCGCTCGCAGAGCGGCGCTCAGCGCCGCTCTCTCTCTCTCTCAAGGTGCCGAAGGAACAAACAAGGGCATTAACAACGAAGATTAGATTAAAATCCCGCCGTCTAACTGCCATGTCACGGCCGGTCGGCTGCCGCTCTCGCCTCGCTGGCGGCGCGGTCTGGTGCCGCGGCGCCCAGCTCTCCTGTGGGCTCGCGGCGGCTCGCCGTCGCGGTGCCGAACAATGTGATCAGTCCGGATTCGTCCCGGCGTGCCGCCGGTGCCGCTTCCTCGCCAATTTTTGGCTCGACCAGTTTGTCGACAAAGTTGCCTCCGAGCTCCTGCTGCTCGACTGCGCGGCGGAACCGGCCCATCGCGGCTGAGACGTGATGCGCCGGCACCGGGGCAACGGCGCGGGACCATTTCCAGGCTCTCTCGAGCAACCTCAAATTTGGCCGATTTTGTGGATCTCAACCCTGCTGCTCTCTGACCACAACCTCGCGGCCCGCTGCGCGGCTCTCCGAGCGCGAGAGGAGTCGTCTACGAGGCGGCGGCGAGCGCAGGCGGCGGCGGCGCGGCGGCGCGGCGGCGGATCGCGGCGCAGACAACGGCAACAATCTGCGGCAGGCTGCTGCTTGCTGCTGCAGCAGC